TATATATATATATATATATATATAATCACTCAGCATACAGCACATGTTGTCTGACATCCTGAATATGTCTGTTTGCACAAGTTTGTTATTGTTGCTTATTCTCCAGAACTACTAGGAGGACTGCCATGAAACTTGACACACACATTCATATCATGGTTTAGTAAGTTCTCAATAATCATGGTGCCTCTTAAACATCTACAATGACTGCTAAAGTTGCCATCTTGAAAATTTTTTTATCACTAGCCCTCTTAATGGATGGTCATATCAACATGACGTTTTTCACTATAAGACTTTTTTAGATGTCTGGTTTTTCCTAAATGAAAATGGGACTGATCTGATGTCCAATATGGCCACCATGGGGCCATCTTCAAAATCCAGTTATTGCTACCTTTAAATTGAAGAGTCATGGGTCAGGAAAGTTTCTGTGGAGTTGAGTTAGCGCTGAATGAAAAAAGGCAAATTGACCCGCTGTTATTACCATCTTGAAAATGTTGTTGTCTCTACTTCTCCCAAATGGATGGTTATTATCAATATAGAGTTTTTGCCAATTGACTTCTTATGATACCTAGTTGATCCTAAATGAAAATCATATGTCCATTTTGGCTACTACAGTGATTATCTTGAAATCTTGATACAACTATTCCACATAATGGATGGTCATTTTGACATTGAGTTTTACCAAAAGACTTCTAATAATGTCAACCAGCCAGATGGCCCGCAACACATCACTATATGATATCAAGCTCACTCTCTCTTCCGACTCAGAATAAAACATGTATATTGGTTAGTGTATTTATCACATTCATACATCCTTTTGATGCACATTATACAGTTTAATATTGTTTATCCAGTACAATTTGTCACCGATGTAAATAAATGTTAGGTAATGGTGATTTTCAGATAAACAGATGTATGAATTCCATTCAATAAATCCTTCTCTCTTTTCAATTGTTGTAGAAATTAATATTGCATTAAAGAGACTATTATATACTTAGTATGAGTTTGTAGGTTGTTTTATTTTCTTCACATTCTACTTGTATCAAAAACTACATGACCAGTTTAAAATCAAAATACAAATACTCTAATTTTTTTATTATCCAATACAGTGGCCGGTGTAAGGGATTGTATTTTAATGTTATATTTTTATTACACAAAATATATACATGCAATATATTAGGGCAGTTCCATTTAAACATACATAGTACCCAGGGAAGGCAGTTTTTAAAATATATATGCCAGGGTGCTTTGATTTTGCAGAGTTCATATTAAAATGATAAGAAATTACAAAATTGCATCAATGGGGAAGTACCCCACTTTAAAAGTGCCCTCTGTGGATCTCATGTATGTTTTAATGGAACAGTCCTTAGTGGAAAGACCCTAATATTGGATTATTTAATGGTAACTGTAAACTGTATAATTTAATGCATTATATTGCATTGTATTGCATTATATCTCACATACTTCTGTTTCTTTGGATAATTTCTTTTTGCATTATATTTAGACAATCAGGGACATCAGAAGTTTTGCTCACTTTGTTATAGATAAACATTTACTGCCATTTTGGAAATTGTGCATGAGAGTTGTAATGTTGTCAGTTAAAAGTTGTGTTAAGAACTGTCAAACCTGCCTATAATGGTCACTCAGTGCTGGCATAAACTGACTTTCTTGAAAATATTAATCTTTATATGGAGATAAATTTCCACTAGATGACATGAGACTCGCTTTACATGTACTGGTGCTGGTTTCTGTGAAATGGACAGATAAAATTTGTCTATTTTAATTTAAAAATTAGGGGGATAGTGAGGAGAAATGGGAAAATCATTTTGGAAAAGTAGGCATGATAGTACAATTAAATCTGAGCTTGTGTAGTTGAATCAACCATAACTCTACTTACATCTTTACTTAACATATCTGTGTCTCTCATCCAAGAAACTTAGATACCTAGGAATGAACATGTTCCTGATTGCAGCAGCCAAATTTCATCTGAAACCACAGATCTGAAAAGTTGCCAGTCTGCCTCTAAAACATGTGAAGCACAACAGATAGATGGACCAGACTGCCTAGGCAAATTCATAGCATAAGAGCACCACATGTTCCTTTAAAATTGCATAAATTTTTACTGACAAAAAAAGCACAGCAAGGCCAGGTAGGGATAGTTCAGTAATTTAAATATTAAATAAACAGATATAATAGTAGAGCCTAAGCAAAAGCCAAGAACTTCTCCAAAAGTAGGTATAGTTCAGATGATTTGAAGAAACACTGAAAAGCAGAGCCTAGTTATAGCTAATTATGACCACTTGAAAACCTCTTACTATATGCACAGGATAGAATGGCTTGACATACACACATTTTTAATTGAAGATATTTGGAATAATCATTTACATTAAAACAGAATATATATATTTTTTGTTCTTTGCAGATCTGTTGTGTGTTAAAACTGTCAAAATATGTTTTCTTGAATTTTCTATTTGTAAAGGTTGGGATAGTGTCTTTTCTCAGCACATAAATGTTTAATAATACATATTGTTGGGAATCAGTAGAACAAACAACATATGAACCAACAGATTCAGGTCTGTTTTCTTGCAACTGGATGCAATTGTACTGAGTATATACAATACTGACAAGCATAACAATTTTATATCGATAACATAATGATAGCTTGCATACAGGAGTTTTTTGGTCAGTGTTACATTTAAATTCAGAATTTTTTATTACATTTTTTGACTGACAAGTGGGTAGAATCAGAAGTTTTTCTAGACTAAATTGTATGAGAAATTTGTATTTTATTTACAGTGTTCTTTCATGCTTGGCAGGCATTGAAAGTACCCAGTGCCTGTGGCTCCCAGACTTTGTGTCCTATTCATATATTTTCTAGAATGCTGATCATTATTTGTGTTTAATTATAAATAGTGTTTTTTTGTGATTACTGTATAAAGGTGAAAAAAATAAATCCAATTTTAATTGTATTTGAGCAAATTTGTTCTTATAGATATTTGTGAGTCTTTTTTAATGGACTGATGTATTCTTGAATCTGCAGAGTCAGAAGATTGCTTGGATTCAGTAAATTTAAACCATCAAGGAATTATATTGCAATAAGTTGCCTTTATATCATTCTGTTTTCACTACTTCAAAATGTCTCACTGCTGCTTTTATTTAGATTTTTATTGTATAATCATGATTTTTGTGCATTGATTCATGCCTACATTTACCCAGAAATGTATGATATATAATCATAATTATGTAAGATGGTTCACACCTACAATTACCAAGCAATATATACAAGCAAATACTTTTATTTACTGTATATACTTGTGCGTAAGTTGAATCCAAATGCAAACAACAGATCCTGATTTTTAGGTGCATAATATGCTAGTGGATCAGGGTCTTTTTTGTTTGTTCAACTAATTACTTCTAACAAACTGATAGACCAAGATCTGTTGATGAATTATGTGATGGTTGATCTAGACCTAGATTTGTTTTTAGATTTGACTTACAAATAAGTAAATACAAGATGGGTTTTTTACCTTTTGACAAGCATTATTGACTGTACATATACATCATCTGTAGAATGTAAACTGATATGCTAGATAGTACTTGATAGATGAAATAAAGATGAAATTATTAGCGTTTTCTCATCTTTTCTTGATATGTACAGTTGGTTTCATGCTTTAATTGTGTTTTGCCTGTCTATTTTTAATTATTTTTAAAATCCTTGCCAATAACTTTGTATCTTTTGTTATTCATTTTTATTTTATATTCTTTCTGATGAAGCTGGGAGCCATAAGCCCAGTTGGTAGGGCTTTGGACTTGTCATTGATAGATCTGCTGACTTGTCCTTGATAGATCTGACGACTTGACATTGGCAAATCTGATGACTTGTCATTGATAGATCTGCTGCCTCTGTGTATCCTTGGAAAATGCACTAAGCTCCCATTCCCTCTCCATGATATATCCAGTAGTAGAACATTTTTTAAAAAGTTTTGATAAACTGTCTCAGTACAAATATCAAAACTGAGTTCAGCCTTGCATATATTTTTCAGTGGTTCATTAAAATATGTCTTTGTTTTGGGAATTTCTATCTTTCAAGGCACACAAGCTAATGGGAAAATTTATATTGTACAAAGTAAAATAGGTAAGTTGATATAAAATTCCATCAGCAGTAGTATACAAATGGCAAGTAATAACACTTGTATATTTAATTAGTATGATAATACAATGTATGGAGACTAAATTAATCTGATGATGAATTCAAATTATACTCTCTTCATACTCCATGCTGGCAGTCATAGAACCACTGAATTACTTAAGTTTTATTTTACATAATTAAAAACTTATTGAAGTTATAGAACTTCTAAGTGGTTTGAGGCTATTATTTCACAAAAATTAACAAGAGTTAGCTCACTTGTAAGTTTAAATTTGTTAAGAGCTTTTACATACAATATAATTTAAATGAGCTGGCTAGTTCAAATTCCACCTGTCTCTGATAAACTACTTTAGCACTGCTCATAAGCTAGCACACAAAATAATGTTTTACACTCAATGTTAACCCTGTTAAATTGTACCATCATCTATATGATGATGGAACAATTTAACAGGGTTAACATTGAATTTTGTTTGATTGATTTTATAAATGATTTAACATAATAAGAAAATTTTGAAAAAGGAAATGAAGCAAGAAAAACATATAATATAGGACTCAAAAGTTGCTAGTATATTTATAATTTTTACAAATTGAAAAGCAACATTTTTTAAAAATTATTTAAATGGACCACATTCATTTTAAAAATGGTGATCAGAAACATCTTAAATAACCAAAAACCACCTACTTGGCTATACTTTACAACCCCCTTAAACTTAAAAATAATTGAGACATATAAATGCAATGAATTTAAACATATCATCACTGTTTTACAACATGTACCAATCAGACGTAACAATGGCCTTTCATCTTAAATTAAGTGCCCATATGAAGAGAAAATGATTTCTGATCAGCCTTGTCCGTTTCAGTGGCTTAGTGATTAGAGCGTCCGCCTCTGATGCAGGAGGTCGTGGATTTGATCTCCGTCCGAGTCATACCAAAGACTTCTAAACATGGTACTTAAAGTTGCCTCGCTTGTCACTCGGCATTAAAAGGTTAGTGTTAGGACTGGTCGGCTTGCTGTCAGGATAATGTGATTGGGTGGGACATCGTGCTACATGTCTGCGGCATGATGCCCCAGTGCTAGACATCACTATAAACTGCCATACTACCGACATCGTAGTGATATGACTGAATTTTTTTTAAAGCTACGATACAAAATCAAGATCACACACACACACACACACACACACACACAGTCTTATCAGAAGTTTTATTCCTAAAAATGTGCCAAAATAAGATTCAGAAGTATGAGACTGAGGTGTTTTATTTAATCAAATAACTGCTGAAAGGAAACATTACTGACAAACAAAACTATGTGAGTCAAAAATAATAAGCTGTTCAAAAAGGATTTTTCCAAGTTTATACCTTTTTTGCTCATCGTGGTAGGTCTTAACATCACTATAGATGTAATTCTTAAGCTCTTCAACTAAGATGAGTTATCTGAGATTTTATTGATCTTGACTAACCTTCTTGGCTGAGCACCATCTATCAAACAATTGTTCTTTTCCCCTTGCAAATTTGGTGAGTTTGTCCTGTTTCTTTTCTACAATTCCTAAACCCCTGTCGATATGAGCAGGTACCCTTCAAGATACATTCCGCAACCACATCACAATTGGTCCTTTGTTGTTCCGACAGTGAAGTTTAGATTCACAAGCTTTGCCAATAAGTACACTTTGTAATAATAAAATCAAAGGCTTTCTTTGCCATTGCAAATTTTTAGCAATTTTCTTGAAGTGATAAACTTCGTTTTCTTTAAAAGTAGGTACTAACCTAGTATTTCTGATATCGTAAAAATTTGAACTTGTGTATACACTGGAAAAGTACTTATCACTTTTCTGTTTTATTTCTTTCAGTCTAAACTGTATTTCTCTTGCTTCTTTTTCTTTGCCTTTTTACACAAACACACACACAAACACAACTGCATCATTTGCATTCTTCTCTCTCTCTCTCTCTCTCTCTCTCTCTCTCTCTCTCTCTCTCTCTCTCTCTCTCTCTCTCTCTCTCTCTCTCTCTCTCTCTCTCTCTCTCTCTGTATTTGCATAATTTTTTCTGAATCTGAATCTTTCTTTCATCTGGGATTTTTTAAAACTGTAATTCTGTTAATTTCCTGTCTGAACCAAACCTGCTAATCGAAAACAAAGCAAATTTATCTAAACAAAAATTAGTGAACCAAAAAAAAAACTAGAAGGATCATATTGTCTGGCAAGCTCAAGTAATTGGTCTTTTTTCAAAGACTTTGACCCTACCTGGGAAGGATTTAAAACAAAGTTATCTACTTTAGAAGACATTCTGAAAACTTGGTTTTGCTAAAGATTTTCCCAATATTTGAAACAAATAGTAGTAGGAGAAAGTAAGAATCCGAGCTCAACAACCCCCTCCAGACCTCCAAACAAATACAAAATACCTAGGTAACGTAATAGAAAACCTATTGCAATCAATAATTGCGTTAAGAATCCGAGCTCAACAACCCCTCTAGACCTCCAAACAAATACAATAGAACACCTGTTGCAAAATACCTAGGTAACAGGTAAAATTTAATTAAGTGATCTTCCAGAATAAGCAAAATGATATGTCAGACTCAATTTTCCAAATCATTACGATTTAGCAGAGCGTGGCGATTGTGGACTAAATTACGCATTAGAATTCCAATAAGGTAAGTGGTATTATACCTCATTACCAACTGTTAATGTCTCAACTGTAGATATCAAAAATATTTCATTATCATGGTGATAGAGGCTAAACTTTACTTTACCGCTGACATAACGACGGGACTCAAACAAATCTTTTATTTGTGATTTGTTAAGAGGGTATTTTTTGTCGATAAAATACACCTTTGACCGATCAAGATCAATTGTAAGTTTGGTGTATTTTTGCTGACTAATCGGACAGTGAAAGTTGTTAAATTCCGCTAGCAACTTTTGATACAATTGTTCGAGATAATTAAAATACTCTCTGTCATCAGATCTGATGAGCGAAAGTTTTAACTTGTCACGGGTACCACTAAAGCATATGCCTGATGTTTCATTATTAATTTCAACTGTCAATGGTTTGTCGTCCATCATTAGATATTTGATTTTGCTACTGTAGCTATTTGTTACTGTCAAATTTTCAAACATTATTTTTAAAGTTTAGATAAAATTTTAGTTTGCAAAGATAATGTCAAATATATCTCTATCATCATGACAATACCCAAGTGCAAATGTATCTACCCCATTTTCGCAATAACGTTTATCATCAAAATTGCTCAAACCGCGTTTGATAAGGACATCTGTTTCGAGCTTATGATGATTTGTCCGAATTGACATAGCTCTTATAAAACTAACACCGCCATCAAGCGCATACTTGTAGTCATCAAATTTTATAAACTTTTTAACAAAGTCACGAGGCAGACCTTTTGCTTTTTTTGTTATTTTATTATTGTCTAACAATACGGCATACATTTTACTACGTAATCCGATAAAGTATTTGATAGCGCTCGAATTCATTTCATCTTTGAACTTACCAATAACCTTTTTATTTGTGTCGTCATGAAATTTACTGTCACGTGGGTAATCAGAAAGATCAAACAGATATCTATTATCATGCATGTCCTGATAGATGTCCTCACATTCGATTTCATATACGAGCGAATCAGTATCAGTAAATAATAATCTACTAGCCGGCCATTGATTTTTAACAAAATTATAATGAAAATCATACATCAGCCACTTTGATAAATCTAACACTGAAGCTCCAACGTAGATCGGCTTGTTTAGTTTTAGATTTGTTTTTCTTCTTTGTATCGCAACAAGATTTTCATTAAATATTTTCATGCTCACAAAATCATCGTCTGACACAAGTTTGTTTCTGCGATTGACATCATTGACTAGTTCGATATTTACGCGTTTCCTAATATTCTCCATCGTCTTACCAAAAACAGAATTGTTCATCAGTTTGAAAAAGTTTTTCTCAAAATCAGTTTTTGCCGTAGCTCTTCTTGTAGTGTTCGAGTTAATATAACCTCTCATCCACGGTGACTGATTAAATTTTAGTACACGATGAACTTTTCTCAACACGAGACCAGCATCGACTGCTTGTTTTAAAGCTTTGTAATGCAAAACATAATTACGTTTATGAAGCAAATTTGGTACTAGTTTCTTGACCATGGAATGTTGCCTTGGTGATGCTGACGCTTGTTGTTCTTCTGATAACAAACTATAATCTATAACCATCGATTCCGCACAGAAAGGGTAATCGTTATGTAATTTGTGTAGCGAAGTTGGATAATCGAGATCAACTTCAACGAAATACGAAACATCGTCGGATATCTTTTTTTCTGTCTCTGATAGAAATTGATCAGCCGTGATCCAATGAAATCCACCAAACGGCATTGATTCTGCCATCGAATACCCGTACAAGTTATTGCAATCTAGATAAACTATATACTTCGAAGGAAGGTCAGGATTATACTCTTTCAAATATTTGTTGTTTGCTTTAGCATATTTCTTCGTTATCACGCTAATACCGCCTCGGATACCTTTTTCAATAAAATTGAACATATCAACATCAGTCAGTAATTCCAACCTTACCTTACTAAACTTTAACAGAGCATCCCATGACAGTCCGGGGGCAGAATAATACCAGCAAGGATCTAGTCCGTAATTATTATAACTCACTTCTCGAAAACTTTCAAAAACATCTGCTAATAATAACACATCAGTTTTTAGGTATAAATCATGGTAATCACCAAACGTCTCACAATCAAAATCTTTCCAGATATCTTGTGCATACTTGTACTCGTCATCAGTGATATTTTCGTTTTTAAGTTGCGAGTAAAATTTGTCTTTGCTAGGTAAAGATGTTTCATCAAATTTACTCCAATCGTCGAGATATTCGTATGGAAAAACTCCTTTTTTAGCTAATAGATTAAATTTATCTCCAAAACAGTCTCTTAGGTTATTAAATTTACTACAACCTTTTACTAGCTCATCTAACGATGCTGCCATAAACTGCAGGCTGTCAATAAAACGTAATTTACCTAGCGTAACTGACATATACTTTTCAAAATTATTTGGAATGCATTTGATGACATTATTGAGTTTTAGATGAGCTTTTATCTCAGGTTCACCAAAAGCTTCTACGATGATGTGACTATCATATCCTCGAAAATTGTGAAGAATAACTGGAATAAAATCTGGAGCGTGAAATTTTAAATTACACTGGTCATGAGCCGCTCCACGATACTGTCCGGTCAAATGGCAATGGTCACGTACTTTTTTGTTGTCAGGGTCAAAAGCTTTTTCACAAATATAACAAATTTTCGCTTGCTCGTGATCAGATTCTTGTTGAGGTGTTAATTTTAACATTGGAGTTACTTTTTTCAAACGATAAGTAATATTATCAACTTCATTAATCAACTGCTTGAGAAGCCAAACAGCTGGATTTTTACCACGATAGAGTTGGATTGGTTTAGATAATCTCGAATCAGCGCAACAAACTACCTTGTACGCTACTCCACATGGAACATGATTTTGAATTTTTCTTGTACTCGATTGGTTAGGATCATTTTCTACGCCAAGTACAGGTTGAAGTAAGCATTCGAAATCGACGTATATGACGAAAGGAATTTTTAGTTTATGATTATGATGGACAAACTGTAACACGCTATCTTTTTTAGATGGCATTGTTATTCTTTGTACGTCACTACAGTACTGCAAATGCTTTTGTAATGTTTCATTGTCTCTACAACCGTGCAAACAGCGATAACAAAAGAACTTTTTGTTGTTATTTTTATTATACTGTCTTCCAACTAGTCTGTTAAAGTTTTTGATCCAAACGTAATGATTTTTATAAAACAGTAAATTGATAGTCGATTGTGAAGCTTTTTCTGAAATATACCTCGGATAGACATTTTCTTTTTCATCTAATCCGAAAACGTTAATCGAAACATTAT